ATTTATAAATACTTTGATCCTTTTAGTCTTTTGTTGTTTAGGTTGTGATTAATATTCAACTCATCCCAAACAAAACTGTGTTGTTCTGAATTTGTGGATATCGTAGTTCTGGGGAACTTCCATCTTTGATTCTAGATGGAGTGGCACAGCCCCAGACAGACTTACTGCATCTTCTGGGGCTTAGGGCTCCTGCTTGAAAAGCAGATAGCAGCTCTGGCTACCAGGCCCTTTGCACAGCTGACGGTATGCCTATTCTTAGAATGGGGGCCCTGCTCATGATCACTCCTGTCCTTGTGACCTTCAGGTTGGACTACAGCAATATGTTTTATGTGGGGCTGCCTATGAAGTGTATTCGGAAGCTTCAATTGGAGTAAAATATGACAGCATGGGCAGATATTGGTGCCAATTATTCATCACGTGACATGACTGCTCCATGAGCTGCATTGGCTTCTGGTGTGCTCCTGGGTGCAATTCAAGCTGCTGGTTTTCACCACCAGATTACTTATAGGACTGTTTCTTCATAATTATTTTTACCTGTCCTATACGATTGAGCAGAAAGAGCATGCTCCGGATACCATCAGTAGGTAATATTGGTTGGCGGAGCCCAGAAAGACAACCATTTTTGCTCTGGCACCCACTCTGTGGAACATCATTCAATCTGAGATTAGATTAGCCCCAGTCCTGTTGGCCTTCTGTGAGGACCAAAACTTGGCTTTTTCTCCAGCCTGGCCCTCTGGGTATGGGTTAGATCATATCTCATAGTTTTATTGACTAGGATTAGATCATATCCCATATCATTCATATCTTATCCTCAAGTCTGAAGCCAGGCAGGTAAGAGAAGAAATGCAACTGAATGAATGTTTACCAGTCAGTTTCAGTGTTGGCTGTTTTCCCATTTTGCACTGAGATCTTCCTTAGTTTGGCTGCCAATTTTGCTTCTTTCATTTGGGAGTTGCAACTGTGGGGCGGCGCCTAACTCTGTAGCTTTTCATCTTCCTCTCTTGCTCCAAGGAAGGAATTCTGGGCACACAGTTCATTGACAGAGGAGGCAAAATCCAATGCTGTTTTAGTGGCATTATTGGTTTTGGTAACCAATAAATTTCTAGTGGGGAGATAGTAGGCTCCTTTTTCAGCTTGCCATGTTCATTGGTGGATAATCAGCAGTCACTCTTAATGTTTTCTAAGTAATCAGAATGTTTCGAAATTAATTATTGAACAGTCATCTCTGGAAAGCTGGATTAAAGCCCTGCACCCTCACTATTATACTGGATGTCACTGAGGTCCAGGTAGTAGCCCTTCCTTAGAACATACTGTATCTATAGAATCGGACTTTGTCTCATGCTCCAGAGGATGATGCTGTAACCTTTTTGGAATGCTTTTCAGAAGCCACAGAAATTCTGTACTAAGACTTTCCCCAATTTAATTTCATCTTCCTGTATTTAACATTACAAACATCCTTAGCTAGTTATTTTTATTAACTCTTTTGATTATGTACAAGGGTGGAATGTTTTGACTTGGAATAATTCTGCCATTTATTATGTCTAACATAACTAGAGCCAGCGCATTGCTTTTTAAACTTTGCTGGGTTTCTTCCACACTAGATGTCATTCTGAATAGCTGTGCTCTGTTTACAGAATATGTAAATCATGTTAAAATAAAATAATAGTTGCCTGTATTTTGTCTGTAATTTTCCATGTCTTTTAAAAGTACAGAAATTCCTAACTCTCTGATAAAGCTTTTAAGTACACAGTAACCCCGTTTACTGACAGAAAGATGTGCATGTACCTATACACACGACTATACACACTACCCCTTATCTCAATATTGTAAATATAAACACGAATATACATATACTGAGCTTAAATAAAAGGCCATTCAATCAATGGCCTTTTGCATTGCATTGCATCGTAATCAATGCAAATTTAGAAAAATGAGATTAAAATGGTTTGATTGATTTAAAAACTAAACAGCACCATTTGGTTGAGATGGACACACTTTAAAAGGAATTTGCTTGATAGGTAGTTATTTTTAATTTTTTAAAAAGTAAAATTTGAATTGTTTTTTGAAAATTGATTTTAATGGGATAGCTGGACAATTACTTTCCCACTGTCACCAACAGAGTCATTGACTGATATGGGCAGCTATAGAAAGTGAATGAATAAATAAATAAACTAATACAGGTAGTCCTCGACTTAGAACAGTTCATTTAGTGACTGTTCAAAGTTACAACGGCATTGAAAAAAGATAACTTATGACTGTTTTTCACACTTCTGACCGTTGCACCATCACCATGGTCACATGATCAAAATTTGGATGCTTGGCAAGTGCTTTGTATTTACAATGGTTGTGCTCTCCTGGGGTCACGTGATCCCATTTTGCAACTTTCTGACCAGCAAAGTCAGTGGGGAAGCCAGATTCATTTAACAACCATGTTACTAATTTAACAAATGCAATGATTCATTTAACAACTGTGGCAAGAAAAGTCATAAAATGGGGCAAACTCAAATGTTCAAACTCAAAACAAATGTTTTACTTAGCAACATAAATTTTGGGCTCAAGTGTGGTCATAACTCAAGGACTATCTGTAAACTGGGCTTTTAACCTAATAAAAAATAGATAAAGTAGCATTCGGGTTGCCTGGAAGCTCGCCTTCTCTGGAATGAGGTTCTTCCATAGACCCGGGTGGCCTCTTCCCTGCTGTTTAGAAGGGCCTTTGGCAAGGGACAAATAAAGCCCTTCACTAAGTTCCCATCTACGTTGTTCTTCCTGCAATCTTTTATTCATTTTTACTTGTTATTAATTGAATTTCTTTGTTTTAGTTGTTATGTGCTACCCAAAGTTGTTGGGAATGGGCAGCGTATAAATTTGATAAATAAATGCAGTAGGCATCCATTGCAGGAAGATCTAAATACTGAAAAATGCCAAGTAGCAGTTGAAATTTCAGAGCTTAGTAACTATTCAAAATTATTCTTGGAAATGAAGGATCACAAGCAGATGGTCCTGAATATACCTATCAGATCAAATGAGACTTATTAGGTCAAAATCAGTACTTAATAAACTGATTAGTAACTATGGCAGGGACCACAGCATGCTCACTGCACCCAATGACAGTTAAGAAGCATGCCATTGCATTTTGTGCCAAACTTCTGAATGGTCTTCAAAAGTATCACATAACAGTGTGCCCTGTGAATGTTGCAAGATTCTCCTACTTCGGGTAGGGTCTGGTTACAACCAGCATACCAGCCAGAGCTTGGCAAAAGCTCTCCTAGTTATAATTTCCACCTGACCTCCAGCAGTACAGAAGTTATGAGATAAGGAGAAGAACCATAAGTGAAGGAACTGTTCCTTAGGTTAAGTCTCAATGAATGAAGAGCAAATTGGTCTTTCTGGGGATCAATTTCAGCCTGTTCCCTGCCCCCAATCAGATCCTTATAATCAAAGCACAAAAGATTTTCTTGGAGGGTTCATCTGAATAGGAGAACGGAACACATTACATTAAAGCACAATTTGCTTTATTGACTACTGGAGTCAAACACAGGCCTAAGGAAGGGTGGAGTTACAATCAATCTTTATAAATTTATGCAAATTATCGATGGGATTGTATATATCAGCAAGGTAATTTGATACAAGTAGTCCTCAACTTACAACCATTCGTTTAGCGATCATTCCAAATTACATCACTGAAAAAAGTGACTGACTACTACAGTAGTACTCACACAACTATCACAGCATCCCAACGGCCACGTGACCAAAATTCAGGTGTTTAGCAACTGGTGTGTATTTATGATGGTTGCAGTGTCCTAGATATCATTCTATCATATCATTATCAGGTTCTGACAAGCAGTCAGTGGGGGAAGCTGGATTTGCTTAATGATCACATGGTTCACTTAACAACAGAGGCAAAAAAAAGTTGTAAAATTGGGCACAAATCACTTAATAGCAGCTTTGCTTAGCAATGGAAATTCTGGTCCTAACGGTGGTCGTAAGTCAATGACTGCCTACCTATATAACACAACATATGTGCCTAGTGAGGTCAGTGAAACGTTAGGGTGTAATTAAAAGCTAATAGGGCAGAACCATAAAGACAATGGGGTTTTGAAATAATAAAGAGGCATTATTCTATGAACATAGTTTCTTTCCAGGGAGTTTATTTTGCTTTCTCAGAGCACTGATCACCATCTATAACTTCCTACCACCTTTTCATTTTTTCTAGCTTATCAGCATTCCTTGGTTTTCTAAATGTTTAATGGCTGCCATTATTAAATTCCTTGAGAAAGTGTATTTCCCAAGGAGGTATATGGGATAGGGATTATGGAGTTTTAGCCCGAGTCCCCAAATTCTCCTTCAGTCTCAACTTCATCACTGATGCAGCCTGAGATGGTAACATAAAGTTGGTGTCCCAAAAATATTGATTATGCTTTACTCCAAATCAGAAGATGACTTCTCTCAACAACTTCATGCAGAGGTTAACAAGGTAAAAGACTCGAACCTCATGACACTTCACACATCACAGGCTATTAGAATGATTTGTTTTCTTCCACTGAGAAAGGAGCAGAATCACTGTAAATAGGCTCCTAAATATTCAATCATGTAGGTAGTTCAGATTAATTTCATGATCAATGATACCAAAGACTGCTGATGTGTAGGCACATCCTCTTGCCTAGGACCTGACAATGATAATTAAGCAGCAAGAGCAATACAACTTCTATCCATGCCTGAGACTGATTTCTGCCTATAAAGTATCTACTTATACCTATTCTATTAAATATATATCCATTTTGTAAAATATTTTTATTCCCAGTTTGCTGCACTAAGGACATTCAAAATGGCTAAAGCTGAATTCTCCTTTAAACTTTCAAACTTACCCTTGGTGATTTCACTGAGACACACATGCAGTTTTCTTAGCAATAGTGCAGGCTTGCCATGTTCAATATAAAAATTCTTACAAGCAAACTAATACTAATTCCTCTACAGATTAAAGCAGAAAACAATGAACAAAATAGATAAACAAGGTGTTGTTTATTAAAACATTCTTGGACAATATAAAAAGTAAGGAAATAATAGTGTTGTAAATTATTACTGTAATTGCATATACATCTGGAAGATGATTTTAATTGTATTATGAATTACACTGTAGATTAACAGAACCACTCTTTCTAATATATATTTAAAGGTTGAAGAATTTCTATAATAAACAACAAAGAGTCATTCCAAATTCAATTATTTCTTGCAATACTTTTTAAACTATTACAATAATCTCATAAATCCACCCTAACAGAATGAGAAAATAATCATCAGAATTATGCATTTTACAGGCTGAGCATTCAAAATTATATAGAAATTTTTTTACTCGAAGACTATTACATTGAACAATTTTCTTTGCCACTTTATAGAACAGACTTCCTATTGCAATACATTGCCAATTGATTAAATGCATAACTTGTTATAACAGTCCTCCATTTTAAGGTATAATTTTCTGTTATAGATAGAATCAAGTTAAATTACCTATAGGGCTGTTACTGTTTCCTCCAGGAAGTAAGACTGTAAGATATACCTTGTGAATACTACATTATAAAATCAAAGAATTCTACATGGAGCGGGGGAAGCTGCTGAATATTGTCATCTGTGTATTAATGGAGTTGTAATTGAGCGGACTAAACCCCACCCATCCCCTTCCAAATTTGGAAGTACTTGCAGTGCTGATTTCATCATCTCTTGCTATAATTCATTAAGACACAGCCAACAACATTTAATTGGTTGCCCTGAATGTTTGGAGAAATTAAAAATAATACAATGGAATCATTGTCTACAACATTGTTTCTCAATCTTGGCAAGTTTCAGATGTATGGACTTCAACTCCTAGAATTCCCCAGCCAACAAAGATGTAAAACATTTATTTGCAAAATAAATGAACTGGAATAAGGAAGGAGAAAGATTTTATATACAGATTCTTTCTTTAAGTAGTTATATATCTTTTCTCCATGGAAATCCAGTGTTACAACTGTATACTAGTTCTGAATGAAAAGTATTGAGGTTTACCACTCAGACTGTCTTAAATTAGATAAAATATATCAAGATTTACCTGTAGCTCACATTTAAAAATATACAATACAGGTAATCCTGTTTTCTTCTAACCGTACCAAGCAATTGTTTGAAGACAAACCTTCCGTCCAAAAGCTAATTGTGGAATTCTGATGACTGTACATTCCTGTTGTCACATGACTACATTTCAGGTGTTTTGATAACTGGATCACCTTTACAGCTGGTTGCAGCATTTCGCAGTCACATGACCATGATTTACAATATTTACAATGTTCTGACTCTTTCAGCCAGAATCTGGCCAAAAAAAAAAAAAAAAAGCCCATAGGAATACATGGTGTTGCTTAACAACTACAGTGTTTACTTAATGATCGCAGCATTCACTTTTAATGATCACTGAAAGAAAACATACATGAGATTGGGTCCATTCACACGGGTGCCTTGACTTACAACCGTCATAACTTAAGACAGAAATTCCAGGCTCCATTATGGTCATAAATCTGTTCCATGTGATGCTGTGTGATGTTATCTCACTTGATAAATGCATAGCAGTAGAAACAACTTTGACTAAATCTCCAATATCTGATGGAGATGGGAAGAGGCATTGCAGGACCCTATTTAACAACTGACTGTTCCTCTCCTCCAGAATTATTTTAAAAATGTTCAATAGAAAAAAACCGATTCTATGGATACTTGAACACAGCCAATTTTTTATCCCTAAACTTTGTGTTTTGATCAGGGATTCTAGGAATTTTTTCTCTTTAATAGGTTCCACCTGAAAAAGTTTGAAAAATCCTGTCTAATCTTTGAGAACAGCAACCATATTTTTTACAATCCCAACCTGGATTCTATCAATTATAAAAATCATAAAAGTATCAGTTTCTAGACATATTTTCATATAAAAGTATAGTTTCCATAAACAACAAATGACAGTAATAAATTAGGCAGTTTGTTAACACTAACATTTAAATAGTGTATTATGAGAATCTAAAATTAGAAATAGGAAAATGGGCAAGCAAGTATATAAATTTTAGTAGATAGCATTGGCTATAATTTTTAAAATAATTTCCTACTTAATCTAAACCCCATGTTGTTTTACTGAATTACTATGATTTACAATTTAATATCCAAAACTCCTTCCATTTTGTTCAAAACAAACTAGTTGAGGTCAAGAGTTAGGGAAGCACAGACAAGAAGGGTGCAATGAAAAGGACATAATAAGTGTATCAATTTTTTTATAAGGTGTTATTCATAAGGAGGGTAAATTCTTAAAACAAAAAAGCAATTTAAATTTGTTTTCTTTCTTAAAAACAAATAGTTATTGCTGGGGTAAACAGGTAATCTGCATGGTCTATAGAAGCAATTCACAGTCCACAACTGGCACACGTGAAAAGCTCAAAAAATATAACAGTGCTTAATTCAGAACTCCAAATTATGATTCTGGTAAACTTTCATGATCATCTACTTAATGCAGATTAATCAGTAGCCTGAAATAAAATTCAACTTACGAAACTTCATTCATTGCCCAATCAAAACCAAATCTAAACATTTACTAATTAATTGCTCCAATGATTTAAAGTGTAATATTACATATTTAAAATAATATACATGTCTCGGTCCTTTCAACTGTGCTGCAGCTGTACCATCCAAAGTAATACAGGTAGTTCTTGACTTACAACCACAATTCAGCCCAAAATTTCTGTTGTTAAGGGAGACAATTGTTAAGTGAGTTTTATGACCTTTTTTGCCACAGCTGTTAAGTGAAACACTGCAGTTAAGTTTGTAACACGGTTGTTAAGTGAATCTGGCTTCCCCATTGACTTTGCTTGTTAGAAGGTTGCAAAAAGTGATCACATGATCGTGGGAATACTGCAAAGGTCGTAACTCTGAAAAACAGTCATAAATCACTTTTTTCAGTGCCGTTCCAAGTTTGAACGGTCACTAAATGAACTGTTGCAAGTCAAGGACTACCTGTATATGCAAAGTATACCTCCCTCCCTCCCACACATTCTTTGGTGTCTGCCATAATAAAATTGAATGGTTTAATTTCAAAACATACAATTTGAGCATCTTACAATTTTACTCCCGTAGTCAACACAATCAGGTCCAATACATTCACAGCAGGCATTGTGAAACCATCGGTATTTGGAGGCACCCATAGAGCCACAAGAGATCTTGCATTGGTATATTGACAGGCAGTCATCGAAGTAAACCACAGTACATATGCGTTCTAAGTGACCAAAGCAGAAGGTAGATTTTAGTTTTTTGACCAAGGTTTAAATCACAGATCATTCAAATAAAACTTCTAACAAACTCCTAAGTTATTGGTTTCATGTCTCTTTTCCTATAACAATATATTAGATCACTGCTCATATTTAATATGTTTCCCATATTTTGGAATAGAGATCATATTTATGTGATTTTTAAAAATAAGATGAAAATCACCACCCCTCATTTTAAAAGCTTTAACTTGCAAACACCACCCAATTTTTTTCCCAATCTTTCAACCACAATATTTTACCTTTTTCACTAGAATATGGAGGATGAACATTGTTTGAAACAGAAACATTGTGATGCTGTGGATGGTTCACGGTTTCTAAAACTGAGACTAAATTCTCATGAGGCGAAAGCTCCTCTGCAACGGGAAAGGACACAATTTTCCAGTTCAGGTTAGTGTCGCCTTCTGTAAGTGCTCGGAAAAGGGAAGCGACCGAGTCATGCAGCTCCTCCACAGTACTTTTCGAAGTGGGAGGTGTGTCACTATAATTCCGAGGGTTACACATACCTGTAGACAAGTTGACAAGTTGTTCAATACCAGTTGCCCATAACAATATTTGAGAGGTAACATTAGAAAAGTTGACATTAACAACCTTAAGGACATTTACAAAAGCTGCTTCTGAGATTAAATTTTGCTGTAATGTGAATTTTAAAAAGCATTTTCTTTTTTTCTCTTTTTAAAAAATCAGGTAGTCCTCGAATTATGATTACAACTGAACCCAAAATTTCTATTACTAAGTGAGACAATCATTAAGTGAATTTTCAAGATTTATTTTCAAGAAATAAAGTTTCAAGAGAACATCTTAAGTAATTATTCCAATAACTAAAGTGGAAATACGTTGTAGATGATGCCTGTTGATAGTATCAACACAAATATTAACACTAACAATCTGATCCAGCTGTAACATATATTATATAATGGGCTATTTAATTTACACCATTTGTAATTGTTTAGCACTATACTTTGACAATATATGATGCAAGGAAATCACTTAAAGGTAGTCCTCAACTTATGACCACAATTGAGACCAGAATTTCAGTTGTTACGGAAGGATGTTTTTAAGTGATTCACACTCAATTTTATGATCTTTTTTTTTGCCACAGTTGTTAAGTGAATCACTGCAGTTAAATGAATCATGTGGTTGGTAAATCTGACTTCCCTCAATGACTCTATTTGTTGGAAGATGGCTGGGAAAGTCACAAATGGCAATCATATGACCCCAGGATGCTGCAACTATCATAAATAGATGTTGATTGCCAAGTGCCCAAATTTTGATCACAGTGGTAAGTGCGAGGAATGCTTTTTAGTCACATTTTTCAGTGACACTGTAAATTTGAATGGTTGTACTTCAAGGGCTACTTCTATATATAGTTCAAATATCTTTTTGTTTTTGTTGTATTATGATCCTCTAATAGTCTAATATTTTTGCAAATAAACAATGAACATTATATGGAAAAGTATTGACATTATATAGTATTTGTGCTTATAACAGCTTTTCCTTTTTAATTAGGGCATGTTCTACAGTAATTTGTTTTCAGTTTTCTTCCTCAAACAGATCTTAAGAACGTGTGGGTTCAGTTTGCTATGGTTTCCCACATATCCTTTAGTAACATGTAAGCAGCAATATAAGATTCAAATAGCATAATCGCCCCTGAACTTAGTAATAATAACCTAATGAACTTTAGTATAAACATTAAATAGTACAAATCCAAAATTTGTCAGAGGCAATTCAACCATCTGATCCCTTGTTCTCTATTGTGTCCGTAACTAATCATAACTACAGCATTGTTGTACACTTTTTCCTTTTTCCATTTTGTACAGCAGAACACAATTGTAAGTCTAGACCAGCTTTGCTTTGTTTATCATAAATGTATAGCCTGTTTTTTGATGATGGCTCAGAACACCTGCAATTTTGTGGGTTTTTTAAAAATGTACAATTCAGATGAATAGAAAAATATTTCCTTGTCCTTAGAGACAGTTGGCCAGAGCAACTAACAGCTGGGTAAATTTAGCACTCAGAAATATAACAATATCTAAAATAATACTGTTAGATATGACACAATATAGTTTGTGTTGTAACTCTGAGGTAAGGGAAAGTACACTAAATGCTGCAACTCACATCTACTGAGAATGGAATTATAAGTCAGCAGGGTCACGTAAAGCTCTGTTTGAGTTTCAGAAGAATCTACACTAGCAATTATGACAGTGAAACAGTGAGGCTAGATAACAATTGGTTGCTGCATAATTAGCTTTATGATCAGTTGACTGTCCCCTGTCAACCCCCTTTAAATCCTCACTGGAGTTTAAATCTGGCACTACTTTTTTGCACCTTCCATTCTTTGACTGGGAAGCTCTGGCTTCCTTATAAGAAAGGAAGCGTTCTTATCCAACTATTCTTCCAAGCAGGAATTGGAACCGGATAATTCACTCCAGCTAAATCCCTACAGTAACATCAATTGAAAGAAACAGGGGTAGATGGCTAGCACATTTTTTCCATACCAGTGTTGTCTATTACTTTCCTAGGGAGCTGCTGTTTTTTTACGTAGTTGAGTATAAGAATTCCCTATATTCTATAGCTCCTTTTTACTGATATTGTAGTGGCATATAATTCAAATCATAGGAAACAGCAATCTAATTTCTCCCATAATTTATGAACTGATCTAAAGACTCCTAAAAACAGAGACTCTTCATTCTCTTTCCAAACAAATCTAGCTTGTAATGAATCCTAACTCTATCTCGGTAAGTCTTCATAAAATTCACTCTCAGATTGGCTTGGCAGACTGCAGCAACATCCAGCAGATCAACACTATCACAGTGTGATGCAGCCATGAAATATGTGGAAAGGATCATCTTTCCCCAAAACAACATTAGAAAATGAAGACTCAGCTTTCCTTAAGGCCTCAATGTAATTCATTACAGTTGGGAATTTAACATTTAATATCAGCTGAAAGTACCAAGCTGAGATTTCTTCCCATCCATTGATGTTAATAAATTCTCAGCTTTGTTCTGCCCACTGCTATGGGCATATTCCCATAAGCAAATAGGTGGGCATGTGCCATTCATGAACATTTAATAGCAATGAAAAACTAAAGAAAGATGCATTAAGCACTAGACTATAATGATAGCTGGCAGATCACACAAGTTATGGTTGGGTTAACTAAACATTAATTCCTCTGCCTGCATATATATTGTACAAACAAATAACAAGTTTCAAAACAAATTAAAATTAATTAAATTATTAAATTAAAATTAAACATTTCAAAACAAAGTTTCAGATTTTTGCATTGTTCAAACAACATTCAAAATTCAATGGCTGGCTTCCTACATGCTGACTCACAAACCACTTAAGCCCATTTTAGTCTAATCTAGTGGGTTGCATATATCCATTATGTCTTGAACAACTGTTTTTCCAACTTTGAAAGAAACTAATCAAAACAATATTTTTCAGAAAGATTTGCAGCATACACTATCTTTTCTCAATCCTAATAAAAGTTTCTTCCTCCAATATAGGATGAGGTATACATTTCATGAATTTTGGCTTAAAGCACCAAGAGTTACTTCATGAACAACTTCCTCCTTCATAAATAGCTTAATTTTAAACTCATGTATACACTGAATTAAATATAAAATACCCATTATTCTGCCTGTTGCTACTTTTGGCATAAGCTTCAAAAGCTGTTAAATCATTGAAAATTACTACTGAAAATAGCTGGTTTTGGTAGAGGTGAAAAAAACATGAACTTACCAACACAGTCACAGCATTCATCCCAAAGTGTGCCTAGACAAAGCATGCACTCCTTACAGCAAGAACAGTTTCCTTCACCAGGTCGGCATTGACACAACTCCTGGATAAAGAGAGAGAGAGAGACAAAAATATATCACATTATATTATGTCATTCTGTATATGCAGTATCAATGAAAGATTATGATTTGTATTTATGGTTCTTAAATAATCAACCTCTTCATGAGGAAATCATGGGAGCTTTCCTACCATCAGAAGGTGCAGAAAGTAAGCCCCTTGTCCTGGCTGAATGTATAAACTTCCCTCCATGATCCCTTATAAATTTAGTCCAGCCTTTGGATGTATAGTTTCCAAGCCCCACTTACCTTCATTTTAGTGCCTTAGAAAACAGACTGGACAAAAATATAATGAACATTAATTCCATCTATTCAACAAAGGCAACACTTCATTGTGTCTAACTAGCCAATTATAAAATTCCTTCCTTATCTGGTAATAATGGCACAGATAGCTAGCAGTAGCAATCAAAGAAAGAGTGCAACCCTGTTGCATACATGAAAAAAATATTGCTTTAATAGTAGTAGCAATCTTTTCTCCAAACATAATGATAAAATATATTCAGAATATATACCGAAGCACACTATGCTAAAGGTTATTTCATTACGACACACACAAAGAACTTTGGATAATACCCAATTCTTGGGGAAAGCTTTAGAAATTATAGACAGCCCCATTACTAATCTCAGAATAAGACAAAAGCAGATGCAAAAAAATAGATATACATTTACATATTTTATACTTTTACAGATCTATGTATCATTGTGCTACCAGGATACAATGTTAAGCAATCTATAGACTACTAAAACTTTCATATCTGTAATCTTTAACTGGGCAAAATGGTGCATTATAGGGCAAATTTTTTTCAACCACAGACTCTTGAAGGACTAACTTACAGAATGTATTTGAAATCCATGACCAATGACTCCAGTGGAATTGAAATTTGGCAAAATTTATAAAACATTTTATGACATAAAAATTATCATTAAGCATTTTATAACATAACACAAAATGGCATAAAACATTTCCTGTGTACAATTCCCGATGTTTGACTATGCAAATACACAAGGCAGATACATCTCTGAATATTTCCCTGACTTTTAGGAACTTTTCCAGTATATTGGAACTTTACTTTCTTTGAAGGCAGTGAGGAATCTGGTACGGAAATATCTCTGAAATGATGTCCTAAAAGTCACAAATTGCCTAGCATATATTATGTATTTTGTCTGGTTTTAATAAGAACATAAATAATTAAGTTGCACTTACTCAGGAGGAGGATGCATCTAATTGGGACATATTTCTAAAGAAATATTATAAAACCATATTGCAAGTTACATATAAACATACCACTTTTTCAAACCTACCACAACAATTATATGATTACAGTTTCATAAGGTAGCAAAAGCCAGACACACTATTTGGAAACTATTGATTTAAAATTATTATCTTAAATACTGATTAGGAAATAAATTGTGCTGAATAAACTTTGCTTCCACAACTCTTGAATGATAGATGGTTTCATACAATGGGTTAACCCACTGATTATTTTTATCACTTTATTAAGGATCAAGTCAGAATATCTGACTTCACAGTGCATTAAGCCAAAATCAGTCCCCGCTTTGTTTATGGTAAAGGAGTCCAAAAGATTGGATTTATGCATCACGAAAAGTCACAGTATGTTGAATTCGAGTCACCATGGGTTATTTCACTAATACAAATCATATCATGGCACCATCCTGCCATTCATTTGCTAGAAATATCAATGTGATCTACTAGAAATGATATATTTACTTGTATATTTACAGTTTAGAGATTTAATTTTTTTATGAACAACTCATTTTTTTTCATGAGTTAAATGTTGAGATTGCTGAAAGGTTTATGATACTTTCTTGAAATCCTATCTGAACAGGGTTTAAAGAGAACTATCTAGCAAGACAAACAAATCAAGTATGTTTCAATACAAGATTGTTGACTTCATTCACATCTGTTGCACAGCTGATAAAATAAATATTTATGTCGACCATTCCCTGCATTCTATAAAATGGAGTACAGTTCATGCAATCTCTTCTATCTACACGAAGGAAAGAAACTGATTAATACTAGATTGATCTCCCTCAGTTCTTCCCCTCTCTTCAGTACAAGTTCTTATTATAGAAAACGAAACTCTTCTAAAAATTAATTACTTCTATCTGTGAGAGTAGCTTAACTTGCACAGTATCCACCAAAACTTGAATATTTAATCAAGGCTTTTATATACCATATTTTTTTCAGATAAAGAATCTTAATTTAGGGATAATCCCTTATAATGTATTTATAAATTAAATTAAGGTGTTTTATCAATACACTATTTGTTTTTTTAATTGTCAATGAACCATGAAATGCACCAGAACTGTATTTTTTTTTTGTTAAAGTTCTTTTTTTAACAAATGCTCATTATTAAATTTAATTATGAAAATTACAAAAATGTTCAGTAGAAAAAAGGTTAAAAGGTTTATAAAAATAAATTATTCAATTTGTTATCTTGATAAGACTGAAGAATTTCCTCATAGGACTAAGTATACTTAATCACACAGAAATATATGCATCTGTATTTCTTTAACATATGGGGCAAAAGTTTAGGCACATTTGGTCATGTTAAGCATCCATAGATTTCAAATTTATATACCAGTTCTCCCTCTAAAAACTCTGAAGTTATTTACAATGAAGCCTTATTGGTGTTAAACACTATAGTTTTAGCAAAGTCTCACATTCTGGAAGTTAATTAGTTCCTTTTCTTTTTAATTTAAAATATAGTTTCAAAAAAGGTAATGTCTATAGTTGGATAGTTACAATTATAAAACTGATGCTTAAGGTTAAAAAAAAACAACAAGCAAGTACATTGAATTGTTTTCACAATATTAAGAAAAAGCAAATACCAACTTTTGAGCTTAGTAACAAAACCTTTGTGGTTTAATGTTTACTTAAAACCAGTATGCAAAACAGTCAAGAAATAAACCTCAAGTATGTGTTAGAATTAGAGTATGTATGTTGATGAATTAGTTATTTCTAATTCTAATTCACCCACAGTTACCAAGCTGCTGTAGTTCAGAGGTTATTATTCCAGGACAATTATTGCATAATTCAAAGGTAGGTAATGAGATGAGCCCGAGTCCCACAATGCATACAGAAACTTCCCTTGGCATCCATTGGCATCAATGCACATACTGACTAATCTTTATTTAAGTTCAATGAAATCTGGCTCCTAAAAAAATCAAACTGTCCACTACCATCTTCATTTGTATTTACAAGAGGTGGCACTAGGAATTTTTAGAAAGCAAATAAAAAGATTTAAAGCAAATATAAAGACATAAAGAACCAGTTTGGTCTAGTGGTTAAGTTACCAGGCTAGAAACCAGGAGGCTGTGGGTTCTAATTGCACTTTGGGCATAAAAGTCGGGTGGGTGACTTTGGGCCAGACACTCACTTTCAGTCCAACTCACCTCACAGGGTTTGTATTGTGTAGAAAACAGAAGGAGGAAGGAGTATTAGGTATGTGTACCACCTTGAAATTATTTATAAAAATAATAAAGATGGGTTAAAAAAAATTGTTGGAGCATAGTGCTTTATTTGGAAGCATCCATGTTGCCAGGAAAATAATAAAAACAAAAGTAAATTGGGATGGTAACGTGCAACTATCATGATAAATTATGTTTACCTTCTGCTTCCTGGTGATTTTTGCCACATTCTGGAACATTTGTCTATGCTGACTCATGTTTGCCATTCTATTACTATTCATCTCTTTTGAAAATATATTTTTGGATTTCTTTCCAATCCATTTTTGAACTTACAATTCTGCTCATGTGTTACTGGAAAAACTGGCCATTTTATTACTACATGCTTCAAAACTATCTGTCATTTATCACATGCAAAGTGTTTCCTTACAGAGATATTTTTGCTTTGACTTCTTTTTCTAAGTGACGATCTGGCTACAGAGATGATGAGTATATTCCAGACAGAAGAATTCTACAACCAGGAGCAATGTTTCAACATCAGTGCATGCACACTTAAATTCTGTACTCCGATTCTAGGAAAAGTCTATAAATTTGGTAGAATTAAACCAGCAAGGGTTGTATAAATGCATTAGTAAACATGAAATACCCAATGCTATCTTTAAAATCACTTCCCAAACATAATACAAAAAACAAACAAACAAACAAATGTGTCACATAGTTTGGTAAAAAAAGTATTTGACCTCTTGGATTTCTGTATTTTTGCATATCTTTGCCAACAAATGTTACTACAGCTTCCACAGGGATCCAACTAATATACTCTCTCTATAGAGAGAGAGACTTTGAAGTGAACAAATAACACCAAAGTGGGATACTTATTTATTTCAGTATAACAGAATGTAACTTTTTCCATATTCACTGAGCCAGAGAGCCTTAGTTATCCATCAGCTTCTCCTAATGTTATTTAGTTCTAAAAAATCTTCAAAAAACTAAAAAGCAAAAGAAAATATGTATTGCTTGCCTACTTTACATAAATAAAATATATTCATTTCTGGCCAAAATGTAATACTTCCTTATGAGTTTTATATTTTATATATATTATATATATATTTGCACAGAGTATATATAAATAAGTCTGACCTGCAATAATATAAAAAAATACGGGTAGATAAAACAAATTCCAAAAATTAATTCCAAATTCATTACAGTAATAGCAACATGTTCTATAATTTTAATTACATTCAAACAGAACACTTTAATTTTGATACAATAGTAAACTTTTATAAGAAAAATCATCAACTCATTGTTTTTATATTTGTTTGATCAATATATTTTTTCTGTATCTACTCTTGTCACATACAGTTTTCTACAACAATTTTAAGTTTTGTACCAGAGATCCAGTTTTATGATGTGTTTAAATGAGAAGTAAGTAGTCACTTTCAATTCATGGATAAGCCCATGCAGCATGAAAAGAGAAGTACACTGGATATCACTGAAAGTGATATCTTAGCTGGTAATTCGGTATTTCAAGGAATACCTTCACCATTATGGAGGAGGATAGGATCTTCAGACATCTTCAACCATCTTCTTCCAGGTGCTTCCTCAAAGGGAAATGTTTCACCTGTAATGTCCCACTCATGTTTGAGGGTACTCACATAAATACTTCCTCAGTGCAAGACAAAACTTCTCCTTCCAGGCATTTCTGTTATTTTAAGTATTTGATCAGTTTTGGAATAATATTTGATTATATATGCCCTATCCTTATAGTATTTACTATTTGCTTTTTATTGATTCACTGTAAAAGAAAAGCAAATACGGTTTTACTTATTTGTAAACTTAGGTTTCAATGATTTAACTTTACAAACTGGCCAAGAACCTAGGTCTCAGTAGATTAGAACTTTATTACATAAACAAATCACCACATTAATCAGTTTTACTGATTAATTTCAAATTTTATCTTTTATAAGATGCCGCCTGAAGCTTTTGCATGTTTCTTCATGCATTAAAAGAATGAAAATTCAAAATAAAGATTTCCACATTCTTCAATAAATTTCTCTTCAAAATAATTTTTATTTCACTTCTTTCAAAATTATTATTACAGAAAAATGTCTGGATACTTATCAAGCATAAGTGTAAATGATCTCATACCTGTATTAGGCATTTGCTGACATCACTAGCACAGAGAGCTTTGTTGCAGCAAATGGATGATGGGATCCAGAAGTACAGCAAACTGATTATGAGGAACCCAGGGAAGTACCACAACCTCATCTTTTGTTCAGGAGGGAGATTTCAAAAAATGTTCCAACTGTATTGAAATAAAAAGTAGTATGAAAAGCCCATATTTTCTGAGGAAAAGACTAAGCTTTCCTCTTTATTCCATAATTCTCAAAGGCAGTTTCTTTTGTTTTGTTTCCCATTAGTTTTTTATGCTCAGATCAGCCGCATGTTTAGTAAAAAAAAAAGTTCTCATGTAATTATAAGTCAAGACAATTATTTTTCCATTGACTTCAAAGTTATGTAAAGCATGACACTTCAAACGCTAATATAATTATTTGAGTTACAATCCTATCATGGTAAAGTATTTATTTGCAACATATTTATTTCATGGAGTAACAGAAGGACTAGGAAAAAAAGGCCTACTAGAATTAATGTAGAAGAATTCTTTCTGACGGATAAATGAGAACATGTTTTAACATAACCTCATTTCAATTCCAGAGATATAGAAGTATTACTTTACATACAAGGCTTCTGAAGAAGAAATTGGATGGGTGCCACATATTAATCAACAGAATATTATATTGGTAAAGGATATAGTCGGTGACTTAATCTCTGCACTCTGCTTCTAATTCAGTAATATTACGTACTCAAATCATATCTTTTGACTTACTATTTCCCTATCATACTCTTTTCCAATACAGCTGAGAAACATCAAAACATAAAGAAGCAAATAAAAGATAGGGAGGGAGCTCCTTTTTGTCCAACAAGGACTACCATCTTTTCACTTAGATACCTCTGAACTTTAGGAGAGCAATTTGAAAAAAACCTGAAATGACAAACATCTCTAGGATTCTTTTTTTAATTATTATGTTCTTTATGCACTGAACATGATCTTAAGAGTTACAAAGTAAGGAATAATAATTTGAACAGTAATTTTAGATTCCTTACTGGAAAATTGTTTTGGAGAAATAATCTGAAAACATATGATAAGCATTTGAAAAATTTGAAAAATTTGAAAAATTTAGTCAACAGAAACCTGTCCTTTTGAATCCAGTTTTTACAATTTCATTATGTCAGTCCTTCCCTTCAGATAAATTGGTCTATCAATTGAAAAGTTGAGATCTTTCACAATTCAAAATGTACTATTATCAAAAAAAGGACAGTTGAACATTTATTTGATTCCACATTTCAAAGTTTTTATGATGGACAAAAAAAAAACTATACAGAGAAACATTTTTAGAGCAAACAAAGCTGTTCGGAAGTTATTCACACCTGTTCATCCGCACCATATTATTCTCTTTTCTACTTGAATGGCACATTAAACCCTTTTGCCTTACTCAGTAAATCGTTAATCAAGTCCCCGTAGTTGGCAAAGGCAAATTTTCTCAAATGCCGAAACCCTCAACTCTTGCACGTACTTTTTTAAAAAAAGGACTTTTAATGAAACCTCCAATGCAGCGGCCAAAATCCAATCCCGAGCCAAAGGCACAGCTCTCCCCTCCCCACCCGCGCGTCTGCTTCGCCTCGCTAAATCGGGGTTTAGCGCCGGGGGGAGGATGAGAAATTTAGGGGGGGTGAGGACGGAAAGGCAACAGAGCGAGGCTCATAAAGTAAACTCAAGTTTCTCAGCATGGACCAGCAAAAGGCGGCGGCGGCGGCAGGGAGTACAAAGGACAACTGGAGAGATGGAGCAGCACTCGGCTATCCAGGCTTCAAAGGAAAGTTCGCTTCAGGGCAAGGGGCTCAACCGACGCCGCTTTCTAAAACCCAAGACCCCGCTAAGCTCCAGATCCTACAAAACAAGCCGCGGAGATCTGTCCGTGCGCCCACCTCCTGCCTTTTTAAGGGGACACCTCCGACACCTCCACACATACTTCCACCGCCCCGCTCGCTCCCGCATGTTTCCACTGCGATCTCAGCCTTCGCCGGGTGGGCTCGCTTACCTCCTCCCCGTTTCCCCTCCTTCAGATGCCCCTTACTCACTCTGCCTGCTTCTTCCCCGACGACCGCCTCTTTCTTCGCGCCACCCCCACCCCCCGCCACCCGGCTTCACGCGGCGGCCGCAGCAGCCCCGCTTGGCTGCCTTTGCGCAGGGCCGGACGGCGGACAGCGTCGAAGTACCTTATAAAGGGAAAGGCCGCGGCGGCTGCCTTCCGAGCAACTTCGGCTGCGAAGGGAGGCGGGAAAAACTCGGCCAAGTCGTCTCCTCCTTCTCGGCCTTAAACACACAGAGCAAACACGCACACACCTCACGGCGCCGGAGGGACTCGCCCACGCGCCGTCTCCTCGCAGAAGGTCCCGGAGCGCATCGCGAAATTCGGCCTCTTGGCACTCTGGGGCGGGAAAGCGCCGCTGGGGAGAGAGACCTGCCCATCCAGGACTGGCTTCGTTGGTAAGCCGGCCCCTTCTTTGACGCCACGGAGCTCACCTTTGGGCTCAGCGGGGTGACTTCTATCCAGGATAGTTCCCGCGGAAGGGGAAAAGGGGGCTCGCTTCCCCTCAGTGGACGCGTAGGGCCTTTCCACTTGTGGCCCTGAGGAGTTGCGCCTCCGCCCGACCTGTTGCTGGATTGTGCTGTCCACGTATTCGTTTTTGAAAAGTCTGCAAAACGGGACCAAAATAAATTCTACTTCTCTCTCATACACACCCGTAGGATTTTTTTCCTGCAGAGCTAAGCAAGTAGTTTGTTGCTTTTCTTTAACAGGCGTTGCCATATGCGTAGGGCAACTGCATAAAATGAGCATTTTTTAATGGGTGCCAGAGTGCTCACAGAAAAAAAGGACAATAAAGGTTATCTTAACTGATATCGGCACATGAGTTTAAAAGCTCTTTGCCGCAGTTGCTAGACACAACAGCCTGGTCTTCTCTCTGGGACCACCACATTATCTAATTCTTTGTGGATTGGCTAAAAGTGTCTCCTGCTCCCCTTCTAAATGCATTTTGTATACATTAATATAGTGAGCAAATAAGAAAAATAAAGTCCATTATTAGGAGATCATAATCCATACACCTAACTCAGCCACAATGTGATGTTTGATTCTATTTATTTATTTGTTTGTTTGTTTGTTTGTTTATTATATTTCTATACCGCCTTTCTCCCGTAGGACTCAAGGCGGTGTACAGTCAAGAAAAATATAGATACACAAACATCATAAAATTGCTAATTAAAATTATTATTATAACATAGTTTGGCCCAATTAAATAGAACCTAAAATTAGATAACATTTTAAAACATTCACATGTTCATGTTTAGCCCCGCCTGTTGGAACATCAGAGTTTTGAGGGCACGGCGGAAAGCACGAGATCAGGGATATTTCGTATCTCGGGGCAGTTCATTCCAAAGGGTTGGAGCCCTCACAGAGAAGGCCCTCCCCCGGGAGTCGCTAGTCGGCATAATTTGACTGATGGTACCCTGAGTAGTCCCTCCCTGTGAGAATCAACTGGTCGGTGGGAGGCTATTGGTGGCAAAAGACGGTCTCGTAGGTAGCATTTTGCCTGCTGTGTGAATCCCAACAGTTGTGTAAAACATAGTTGCCTTAGCATATTATTTGAGAGGAGCCAATTTGGGCTTTACTCAATCTTGTTTGAATTGTGATTTATCATGTGCATACCCAACACTTGATTGACTAGGAAAAATAGGCCAGTGCCTATTGTTTGCTGCAGTTAATGCCAAGCTTCATGGAGGGCTTAAGTAACCAGTATTACTTATTGAGACCATAGTTGTAAATACAATACTTGCTTTCCTCTTTCTCTCCCATATACCATCTTGGAAGGAAAAAAGGTTCTTCAGTTCCAGTGCTTATATACAAACAAGCCTGATAGCAGTTTCAAGCTGAGTGCAGCAGATGCCCCTGGCAGCTGATTGCTGTGGATATAACCCAGTGTTTCCCAAACTTGGCTATTTTAAGATGCATGGACTTCAATTCCCAGAATTCCCCAACCAGTATGCCTGGTTGAGGAATTCTGGGAGTTGAAGTCCATACATCTTCAAAGGGTCAAGTTTGGGAAACACTGATATAACCAAATCAAGGAACTGAGAAGAGCCAGTCTGATGTATTGGTTAAGGTGGTGGCCTAGAAACCAGAAGTCTTGAGTTCTAGTCCCATTTTAGTTATGGAATCAAGCTGGGTGACCTTGGGGCCAGTCATTCTCAGTCAAGAAAGGTAAATAGAGCGAGATGGACAAGAGCAACTGGAGACAGGAGCTCCATATGCCATGAAGGGCTTTATAACTGATGGTCAACATGTCATCATTTATTTTACAAAAAGAAAACCAAAATGGAGAAGCCATGTGTGAAAAACTAGGTATACCCTTACTGGTTCCATATATATGAAGAAGCTAAGTAGCAGACAGGTGCTGATCAAGTGCCCTTTATCAACTGATCATCAGCAACTGTAACTACCTCTAGTTTTAGGAGTTTGCTAGTCTCCAGCATTGAGGTGTGTGGTAACACAATGCCAAAGAAGAAAGACATCTTAGAGAAGGAAATGTTTCTGCCCATAAATCTGGGGCTATAAGGCCATTTCCATAAATTTCATACTCTTCATTTACTTTATATGGTAACATCATTTTCTCTAAAAATAAAAAAAATCTTCCTATGTCTTATAAAGAAATCTTCAAAGGTTAATCAGAAATTTCCATTACGAGCTATCAGAAATAACATATTGAAATTTAATTCCCTCAAATAAGGTCCCAGAAATTAATTTCCTATCATCTCTTCATCTCCTCTCATAAACTCTTATGGAAATTTAACACTTTCTTTCAATTTTGATACCACAGCTTATCACTTTCTCTAAAAATACAAGAACAAATATATTCTTCCCATATTTTGTATGTAAACAAATCTTGAAAGCCTTATTCGGTCCTGGTAAAAACACACCATTAAAATATGCTAGGAAGGAAAACACACACACACACACACACACACACACACACACACACACACACACATTTTAACCTTGGTTGAATAAGTCAAACTTTATAAATCTTATTTTAAAAGTTTAATGTTCATTCGTTTTAAATATTGTTATAGGAGCTGATTTCTTTTAATTCATCTTTTTTCAGGAATTCCTTCAAAGGTATAATACATATCTTTTGTAAGTCCAAAATAAGAAAGATATCCAAGTCACTCTTCTTAGTTGAAATCCACACATCCAAGTCACTCTTCTGATTTGTGTGTCCCTTTTTACAATTAAAATGTTAACCAGTTTCAAAAAATTGAAGAAAAATCACCCAGCGTAATAAAACTTGCCTTTCTTAATATCCCAAAACCAACTTACAATCCATATCCAGTGATGCTGATTAAGAAAGTGTGAAAACTCAGTGCCTCTTTGAAAGCTCCAAAGCTCAGCTTTGGCAAGGCTTTTTTGATTCCAAATCTCTAAAAGCCTTCTATATATTCCCCGTCACAGTAGCAGGCATTTTGCTAACATAATAGCAATATATTAATTATATATTCTTAAATAATAGGAATATACAAGTACAACCTTATCATGGAACTTTCAAGGATTTATTTGTCAAATTGTATAAAACTTCAAAAATGAAAATTTCACAATCACAAGGATTCAAACATCTGTTAGCATGACCAATAGAATTTATTAAACATAGTTATTTACAGTTATTTACATATGTTTCTATCAGGGAATATTAAAATAGACAATATACAATTTTAAGATTTCTCATTGAGAGGCATGTAAAAGGAAATAAATTGGACACTGAAAAACTCTTTTAGAGACCAGGATGTAAGAGCTGGTTTTCTAATCTTGTAAAGATTTTAAACAAAATACTCTTTTCAAGTTAAGTCACAAATATGGCATTGTAGCAGCAGAGCAAAAGACAAATGGCTCTGTGGAGTTAAGACATAATCCGATAAGCACTGCAACAAACTACAATGAAAAGGGATTCATGCAAATTTCTCTGAATGAATGGATGCTGTACAAAGCAGTATATTGGATTGGTAACAAATATTTCAATCAGTTAGGTACCCTGTAGTAGGGGAAAAATTCAACTGAGCTAGCATGCAATACCACTCAGTATCAAATTTTAGCAGTAATGGTGATGAACAAGCAGCTAAATCAAACACCATGCTTTTAAAAGAAAATTGTTTGTACATTACACATAAGAAACAACAACAATTTTGGTCCAATAAACATTAGACAAAACAATTTTACAATTAAAATATCTATTTTTGTACAGGGCTGAACATTAAATATAAGAATATTTACATTTGCACAATATGTATAAAATAAGTTATTTTAAAAAATGAAAACAATATAACATTTTTTTTCAAAAAGAAAACTGTACAGTTAACCTATAAATTATGTAAGATGAATACTCTCTCATTCTGCACATTCCCACAAACTTAAAAGTTCTTCCACAGGTTTTTGTTGTTTTTGTATGTTTAATAATAAAAACCACTGAAGTTTTAAATAGCAAGACTTTTTAGTGGACTTACAGCTGCCAGCGCTGTTAAATCTTGAGTAAAAGACTGTCATAGATAGATTTATTGAGTAGATGCTTTTTGAACCCAGAGGCTAAAATAATACCATTTATTAACAAATGGTATTTATACGTGCAATATTGAATGAGATTTGGGGCACATTTCTGAAGGAATACATGGAATATTGATAAAGGCAGTATTCCATTTTAGTGCTGTAATTTAAGCATCCCACAGTCTTGAGCTGTAACAGCAAGAAATGCTAGCTGTCATATAGGTGTCAATTCAAAGTCATCATTAACATCCACAAGAGGAACATAGAATTCCTGGATTTCATAAATGCTGATTGATTTGTAAGTTGCAGGATCAAGTTCTTGTAGTTTAAGCTGCCATTCCAGTCTCTGAACAGCATTTAAAGCTGCTGCTTCATGTTGCTGCCTCATCAGGAGACATGTCTATTTAAAAATAAATAGAAGAATCTTTAGTTACCTCAAGCAAGCTTCTATATAAACAAGCACACTGTACTTCTATTAACCCAAGAACTATTAGTTTGGCAATCCACAGGTTAAGACTTGTGAAATGATTTGGTCTGGTTCTCATAACCTATTCCAAGATTTATCTACAGATTTCTTTTAAAAATTTAATACATAATAATAATACAAGTACTGTATTGAATATTAATTTTTAATAATAGTCTCTTGTGTTTAAATAATTAAAAAAATAGTACAATCTATCCTCTAAAACAATGGCACTTTTAGGCTTCAATTCTACATGCACTGGTAGTCCTAGTTTAGCAATTACAATTGGAACTAGCAACTTGGTTACTAAATAAAGTGGATTCATATAACCATGACTGTGCTTTCTGGGTTGAAACTGACAAGAGTAATAATTTCATACTTTTTGGCTTTTTTTTGCCTGCTAACCATTACCTTTGTAATGCTCACCTCAGCACTATGTAATTAAAAAATGCTTCTATCACTGGAGAGGAAGGGATTAGAAGGGAATAAGGCATACTACAAGGAATACACTTCAAAAGCAATGTACTGGTCCTGACAGCTGTGAGCATGCTTGGCAAATGGCTAAATATATTTCCCATTGTG